TTGCAAGAAGGTGTGGAAAAGAAAAGAAGGTAAATATTTCTTTATATTACAAGCACTTATATTACATTTTATTTTTCTCTCCATTTATACATGTTTTTTTTTACCTTATCCACACAACTTCTCTGTTGAAAGAAAAATAAAGACAAGTGAGTTCATTATTTAATTTATCTTATAAGAAGAAATATGAACTAATTTATTATTTTGTTTTGTAGTGATTATGTCGCATAGCTGCAACCTAAATTTCACACATATTTTAAAAATTAAGGATTGTGCCACAAGTATTACATCATGTGATCATAACCTAATTTTCTTCCTAGCAGTATATATGTTTTATAATAGACTTCCGCTATCTATCTACTCAAATATTAATAATCTTCTTATGCTTAATTTCACTCTAACAGAATGACTAAATTGCTTTCTTCCATGCCACTAATCTCCTTTACAATAGAATTGCTTTCTTAGACATGCGATATGTGTGATCTTAAAACTATAAATATATGACTAAAAACATATTCAAGAACCATACACGATGGAACAAAATCTAATGGATAATTTTTCTCTAATTTTATAATTACAGTATATATATATTCTTGGATTACAGAATGGGATCTTATAAAACAAAATATAATGGATAATTTTTTTCTATTTTTCAGTCTAAGTCGATTTCACAAGATCTTATAATTATATATATTCTCTGAATCCCTTAGGATTAAATCTGTTGGGCAACCAACCCATCATTTATTCCAAACTAACACGCAACATGCGATTCCTAAAAAACTTCTTATGGTTAATTTCACTCTAATAGAACAATTAAATTGCTTTCTTGCATGCCATCTATTTACCTAAATATTAATAATCTCCATTACAACAGAATTGCATTTTTAGACATGCGATACGTGCAATTCTAAAACTACAAATATGACTAAAAACATATTTAAGAATCATACATGACAGAACAAAATCTAATAGGTAATTTTTCTCTAATTTTTTAAGTTGATTTCATAAAATTTTATAATTATAATTCTCCAGATTACAAAACAAAATATAATGAGTAATTTTTTCTAATTTTTCAGTCTAAGTCGATTTCACAAGATCTTATAATTATATTTGCTAAATTGAATCCCTTAGAATTGAATCTGTTAGGCAATTAACCTACCAACTATCCTAAACCAACATATGACATGCGATTTCTAAAAAACTAAGATATAATTAAAGACGTCTTCAGGAACTATACTTGGTGAATAGACTAAAAAAATTTTTTTTATTTGGATCATTTATGATGTAAGGAGTTTATAACGATTACTATAATTATGATTATTAACTTTAATCATAGAAAATCACTTACGGTTAAATATAAATTAATTAGTTTGAATTAATTAAGTATTAATAAATTTGCATAAGAAGTTTATCAAATAATAGATAGAAGTAGTGATAACTCACTTAAAGATTTAAATTAGTATATATTTAATTAATTATTAATTAATTAAATTCACATATATTAGGCACTTACCAAACGAGAGACAGAGTTGAAGAAATATTTGAGAGTTTAAAAAAATAATTATTCTAATACGAATCATATAGTTTCTATAGTATGCGGAAAAAGAAACCACACCTTTATATAGATTTATAAACTGGTAATAAATCAGTAGAGCAATTGTTGGATCTTATCAATTTCGTTTATCCAAACTTAGTTGAAAATTCTGGCAATATAAACTATATGGTTGGTAGAGCTATTTTAACTTCAAAGAATGACAAAGTTGAAAAAATCTCTGATATAATTATGAACCAGCTTCCAGGCAAAGTTTATACATATTACAGTGCAGACTCTATAGGTTTAGAGAATGGTAATATGGAACAGCCCCAATTGTATTCCTCTGAATTTTTAAGATCTCTAAAGATTTATGGTCTCCCTCTTGGTGAATTAAAGTTAAAAGTAGAGAATACTTATTATACTTTATGAAATATAGATCCATCAAAAGGACTTTGTAATGGGACCCGATTAATTTGTCGTAGACTTCTTAGTAAGATAATTGATATGGAAATTATGACAGATTCATATATTGGATAATACATTTTCATACCTAGAATTACATTAACACCTTCTAATACCAGTTTGCCTTTTACTTTAATACAACACCAATTTCTTATACAAGTTGCATTTTATATGACTATTAATAAAGTGCAGGACCAGACATTAAATCAGGTGGGTCTCTATATGCCACAGCCAGTTTTTTCACATAGTTAATTGTACATTACTCTATTGAGAATCATTTCTTATTGATGTATAAAAATTTTTATATCAAATAACATAAATAGAAATCAAGATCAACAGACAAAAAATATTGTGTATTACAAAGTTTTTAAATAATCATTGTTACACAGAAATGATAATCCTCTAATACAGTCATAGTTAGATTATATTATTATAACAGTCATGATAATATTTCTATAGTTTATATATAAATTCTGTTGCTTTACAACAGGTTAACATCTAATATACAAATAATAAAAAAGAAAAAACTTGAAACCAATAGAAAGAAAAGCAAACCTCTAATTAAATTCAAAGATGGAAAAGAATCTATCAAAAGAAGCTGGAGCTGGAGTTCCTAATAGTTGAAGAAGTTCTTTTAATCAAACTACCCTATTTTTCAAATTCAAATTTTTTAAATCCAACTTTCTATTATGATAGTAAAGGGAGCAAGTATCAGAAAGTATTTTCAAGTCTGCTTTTAACTTAATAACTTCTTCTTCCAAGGTTTTGGACCTTTCTTCACAACATGCCAAATGCTTCAAAATTTTAATTCTTTCTTGAAGTATTACTATAGTTTTCCAGGAAAAGTCTTTATAACTGGAGCGAGTAAAGCGAACAGCTTTGGAGATACAGTTTTTTCTAGACATGATTTTAACAATTAAAGAATAAAAAAGTTGAAAAGATTAACACTAAAACTATTGACTTAAATAGCAATAATTCTTATTATAAATAATATAAAAGTAATAATTGACAAGTAAGTCTTGAATATAATATAACAAGTATGGGAATACTGATAAATAAGAATATAAAAAATTAGCATAAAAATACTTACTAAATCTTACAAATACTCAAGTATTCTTACCAATTTAGGAAAATTGATTATTGAAAGGAGATAACTATAGAATTTCTATATTAGAATAAAGTTAGAGATCATTTGTAGTACTTGTGATTAGGAGAAGAAAATGTTGTAAGAAAAAATAATAGGTAGATAATAAAAAATTATAAGGGTAAATATATATAAATTAAAATTTGAATTTTTATTAAATTTTATTATAAAAAAAATATTTATTAATATAAATTAAACTTGACTTTTATTTTTATTATTATTTTTTTTTAAGGTTAAATGACATTAGATACAAATTTTTATTGGGATTCAATATTACTTATTACATTAAACATCCTTTGTAATATATAATTATAATTAAATGCTAACCTATCAATCTTTTTTTAGTTTGTGTCTAACGAGACAGGTTACACTCTTAAAGTGGTTCACCTCATTGGCCTCTCAGTTTGATCAATACTACTAGTAACAAGGGTAAGGAAAATCTTATCTTTTACAAGTAAAAATTTTCCTGGCAGTCTCTATTTCAGCTTAACAGCCCTACTCTTTTTCCAATAGGCCACTGATCTGGATTGTGCCAACTTCTAGCAGGTTATAGGGCTGTATGAATGCAGGATAGCTATTTTTGAAGCGATTAATCCAATATATCCTGATTATATTCTTTCGTATAACTTTGATCGACTAGAATTAGCATTTGTATGGACAAACGGGATTAGTTAAGATGGAGTACAATCCAGTCTGTACATTCAAATTTGACGTGGTGTTTGTGTGACGTATTGTGGAGTTTAACCGGAATTAGACCAGAAGTCTTTCTTCATGCAATCCTTTCCTTATGTGGTCTGTTACAACTCTGTAACCACCAGAAAGGCCAGAAGTCTTACCTTCATGCAGCCTAATTAAGAAGGAATTGTGATAAATTTTTATAACTAGATAGATTTGAACCCTAAACCTTCACCTGGTGACCTATAGAGCTTTACTACTAAGCTATAGACCAATAGGTCTAAACTTGACTTTTATTATAATATACAATAAATTTTAATATATATATAATTAATATAAATAAATTTTTAACTTTATTAAATTATAATTTTTAAAATTAAAATTAAAATCAGTTTTTAGTTCTAATAAAATTTTATCAATTTTTAATTAATTTATATAATTAAATATTCATTTGAAAGAAAAAAAAATTCTTTATCAAATTATATAATAATAATAATAATTTATAATAAAAATAATCAAATAATTTGTATTTAAAAATTGAAAAAAATTGAAAAAAATCAAATTTTTTTTATAAAAAAAAATTTTTATAATAAAAAATTTAAAAATTTTGATTGATCTATGCGTTTCAATATATTTTAAAAAATGAAAAATTTTTTATCAAACTTTTTGTATAAAAAAACACAAAATTGATCGTCATAATGTAATATGTAATTAAGCCACTTTTTTGATTTTCCGAAATTTATTTGTTTACTCAACGTCTATTCCGTCTATACTTTTTGCAATTTTTTCAACAAGACTTTTTTGAATTTACTTATCAAATAACAATATTTTTTACAATGAATCCAACCAACAAAGTAATTAAAGTGATATAAATATATTTTAATATTGTTTTTTTTTTTTTTTTTTTTTTTCCGTAGTCAAACAAGTGCGTACTGTTTATTAAATCTTTACAGAAAACAAATAAT